CACGCCTTACCTTTCCCAATGGCTTCCAGCAGTTGCTTCTCCTCCTCGCTCAAGTCCCCTTTCTTCGGAAGAGCCATGGCTGGCTTGAGGAGTTACTCTTTGGTTTCTCGCCCCACTCCACCGCTCCTCTCCTCCCCTGCGAACCTCCCTCCTCACAGCCCCAACATGGAGGCTCCCTGCCTTGTTTTCGCACTCGAGGAAAGGCAGGCCCTGGCAAACGCACCAATCCTCAGCCGGGGCCGCGAACGCACGAAGGCGCACGAGCCAACCCCGCCCGGTCCTCCCCGGCCAGCGTCGCTGGACACCCGGCTCCCGCCTCCTCGCGGGCAGCGCTGTCACTTCTCCTCGCAATCCTGAGCAAGGGAGGGGGGGGAGAGGATTAAACCATTCCCTCCAAGGGGAGAGAGGGGTACACACTCTTACACTCCCCGCCACGGGCTAGCAGCACAGCCGAGGCGCTCTTGCTTTTATTCCTTGAGCAGCTCAAAGCAATCTGGTAGAACGAAAAAGAGACAGCTAAAGTAAGGCACACGTGTTTTCCCATTTGTTAGCGTTACCCCCCCTCCCCTCCGCTTCATGGCACAATGGTACGTCCGGGTGGCGAAGGAGGAGGGGCCGGAGCTCGATCGGGGTATGTCAATGTGTCTGTCCTTCACGTCTCCATTGTCTCTGGCTTTTGCAGTTGCGGTGGGTGCTGCTGCTGCTGCTTCGCTTCTTCTTCTTCTTTCTTAGAGAAGAGGTGCTTCCCCGACAAGAGGTAGAAAGGGAGGCTGGCTCGCTGGCGGGCTGGGTGGGTGAGAGGATGGACGGATGGACGCGGGGACCGCAAGTAGAAAGGGAGCGGGGGGGCTTGTTCAGCGCTGTAACGGCGCAAAAGAAGCCGGAGCGGCGGGCACGCTGGCCACCCTTGCTTGCAGCGAGGGAGAGGTGCCAACCTGGGGACCTGTCACCCGAAAGCTAGTCCTTCAGCCGAGGTGACTGAGGCGGGAGAGCGCCTGGGGTGGCCAAGGGCAGCTTCTCTTTGTATGGCTAACTTCGTGGTTGTACAGTACTAGATGTGCTTGTGTATATATGTTCGTCAGGTGACACGGAGCAGCGGGGCGGGGTAGTGAGTGGTTTTAAAATGGCAAGGTATAAAAGCCAAGCTTAACGAGAGCCGGAATAAAATAACCCTAGGACTGGGACCTAAATGGTGTTTGGATTTTTGGGGGGAGAGAGTAGGAGAAAGCCATAGACTTCCTTGGTAAACTACGGTGTAAAGAAACGTGTTGTGCGACGGAGGTTCGGGGGGGGGGGTTTCAGACGTTCGGTCGCGTTCCTCTCCTCCCTTTGGCATCTTTATGGAGGCCCTTGGTTTGAGGCACCGGGTTGCGAAGAAAGGAGGAGTTTCTTTGGGTCACTTGGAGCCCGCGCACGGACTCTTTGGAAGAGGAGACTGGCTTGGCTCGTTCTCTCCCAAGGCTTCTGTTCTGGTTGCAGAGCCGGTAAGGATGTCACCCCCTCTGCGCCCGTGACACCAAGGCTCTGTGCGGAAGCTCTGCAGGCCGTTTTGTGTCCCCCACCCCCACCCCGTAACCCAGGCGCCATTGAAGTTCAGGAGTCCTGAACCCGTCTGAATGGATTAGGGCAGCCTCGCTTCATGAGGGAGCTTCCCTTTACCTTGTCCGACGATCTTGAGGTTGCAATGCTTGAGCCACTCACCTCGAGGAAGTCCCTCACTGGGAGTTACGTTGGAGTATACCAGGCAAATGTTTCATTTAAATGCATATAAGATTTAAGATTTATATAAGATACATATACAGTACTGTACTTACTTGTAAGTCATAGGTCATTTTAAGTCCATGGATCTTGATGCATTTCTTTCAAGATTTTTATATATTTTTATATATTTCTTGAAAGAAATGCGTTAAGATCCATGGACTTAAAATGACCTGTAGCTTACAAGTCAGCAGATATTTAGTTGGTCTAGTGGATTAGTTGGTCTAGTCAGTGGTTACAGGTGTTACAGGTGTCTTGTAAACCTCCCAGTGGGGAACTTCTACTTATCACTAAAGCAGGTTCCTTTCTCTCAGTTGCCTGTTTTCTGCTCAAATTAAATCAGGGAGCTGACTGTTTAAAATGAATTCTAGTTTGCCCTCTTTCACCTTAACAAATAAATATATAAAAAGTCCAAGGCAGCTGGCTGCTCAAAAATAGTAAAGAATCCATTGAAAATGAATTTATGCACTTGTCCATAATAATGCAGCAGAAGAGACTGCCCTTATTAACCTGTAAATTTTAGTGAGATTTAGCTGATTTTTTTGGTGTTTTTCCCATCCTTTTCGGATTGAGTAGTTTTTGGACTGCAGCTTAAATGATGATTGACCTGTGAAATAAGTGGAAAGCCTTTTGGTGCTCTTTTTTTCAGCTGAGGATTAATAGAATTTCCATTTGCCATCTATGGTTTGTGAAGTGGTTTACTTTCTGAATGCTGCTTTCAACTGCTTTCTGTAGCTAAACTACATTAAAAGGATTTAATTTAAATGTAGCTTTTAACCTATAAGGACCCTGACTCTAAATGCTGACCAAACCTGAACACGTTTACTTCATCATAAGTCCCAATATTATGTTCCATGGTGAGCTTCTGCTAAGTGTGCTTACTCTTCCAAACACATATTTTCATTTAGATATTCTAGCATGCTCCTTTACAGTGGTGCTTCCTTCTTTCGGTGATTTTGGGTGAAATGTGATGTTAAGCAGTATTCACAGCTTCCATACATGTTAGTATGGGTTAGACTGGTTTATATTTACATCCGAACAAGATAATGTACCATAATACTGTGGGATGCCATTAATACATTTCCTTGTCATTAAAGAAATCAAAACATCTGGTTTTCACCATGTTTTCTGGTTTATGGGGACCAAGCTATAATCCAACCTTATGCTTTCATTTTTGCTATCTCAGTTATGCTGCATAACATCTCGTTGAGATTTACAAATATCTCATTAGCCACTGAGGACTGCCTCTCAAGATTTCCCTTTACGATACCTTGTGACAATTTGTGCAAAATTGTTGAATAGTTCTTGTTTGTCTATATGAGGTAATGGTGGTAACGTAGGAAAAGTCTGCAGAAATATAAATATCTTCTCCACAGATTAATTTATTAGACACTGTATGTAGAGGAAGGGCTTTATATGAAAGGAAAAAAAAGATGTTGAAGTTAGTGTAGCTTAACAGTTTATGAGTTTATGAGCATTGTTTGTACCTAGCCAAAGTTTCTACCAACAACATTAGCATTGTTTGCTTCTAGCTGACAACTCAGGATGATGCAGATTCCTGAGACAAAATAGAAACCCCCCATTGGAGTCTGCAAAGTCTTGCACCCAAATTCACCTGAATTTTTCCTGCTCCTAAGACCTCCAAGTACCATTTTCCCTGGAAGAAAAATGACTAGTTTAGATGTCGTGGATATCTAAACATACACTAGACCGGAGAGATCTGAAATGGACCAACATGTTTGACTTGAACAAAAGTTGTGGGGTGGGGAGATAAAATTGACATCAGTAGTTATCTTTCTCCTTTGGACTACTCTGAGAATGTCTTCTGCCACCCCTTCTCTGTCCCTGTTTTTTAAAAAAGCAACCCCCTCTGTAGATAGTGGGGGTGCCTGCTATCGCTGCAGCTTTTCCTTGTTGTGTAACTATTACATGCACCAAAGACACTATTTAAACTTTGCTTTCTCTTCTTCTGTAGTTTCTTTTAGAAGCACAAAAAACAACTGCCTCTGAAGGATAATATTATACAAAGTATTGTAGGTTACTATTTATGGTATGCAGTATTTTATTTGGCATATGTAAGCATGATCCTGTTGCAGATGCTAATTCTATCTATAAGTAGATAAATATATACACTGGGTAGGATTCAGACTTAGTCATACTTTGAATACTCCCACTCAAATTGATAGGACTTAAGTTAGTCATGACCTCAATGGGTTTACTCAGAGTATGACTATACTGGAATCCAACATGTTATCAGCTTAATCTTGCCAACTCAGCTACATGTAGATTGAGTGATTGTCTCATTTATGTTTCTGTGAGAATGCCTGTTATGGAAAAACAAATTGTATCTCTGGTTCTTTTAAATGTGCAAATATGTGGTTTAAGAGCCAGTATGGTGTAGGGGACAGAGTGTCAGCAGAGTTTAAAAGGCAACGCCTTAACCACTATCTCAAGGAGATGCAGACAGCAATTCACATACCATGTGACTGTCACATGGCTTTAAATCACAGGAAAAAACTCCTATGCATATTGCAGGGTTAATCGGTAATGTAGATAAACCCTCAGATTAGGATACAAGATATTTATATTCAAGTCTTTGCTCAGCCATGGAAATTTGTGGGTGGTAGTGGCAATGGAAACATAAATGGCTTCTTTAGTACCTGGAAAACCCTGTTAGGGCTGCTGTAAGTTGGAAGTGATTTGATGGCATGTACAGTAACAGCAACAAAGAATTGGAAGAAGATTTTCCATAGAAATAAATAAAACATCCTGTGCTACAGAAAGTTCAGTGATTACTGAACAAATATCCTAGTTGGAACTGAGCTCCTCTTCTAAAACAACGCTCTTCCCCATTAAAGCAGGATGAGACATTTTTAGTTTATTCCCTCTTTTGTCATACTGACAAAACTGTCTTTGCAGAAAACTTCAGTTATATTTGAAATACAAAAGAATGTGATAAGAACTCGTTTATGCAACCTGGTGGGGTAGGTAGATGCCATAGGATGCAATGGAGCCTTCAACTATGTCACGTTTAAGAGGTCTAAGAGTATTACTTTTCCAGAAATGTAATAGTCTAACAGTTGTGGAAAACTTGAAATTTAGTGTTATTTCTTTAATTTAGGGGCGACTCAATACATGAGGTCCTCCAGAGGTCCAGAACTGTAGCATATGTGTATACCTGACACAAACTACAGTGGTGCCCCGCTTAATGATTACCCCGCTTGATGACAAATCCGCTTCATGATGATGTTTTTGCAATTGCAATTGCAATCGCAAAACAATGTTTTAATGGGCTTTTTTTGCTTCTTGATGATCAGTTCCCTGCTTTGGGAACCAATTCTTCGCATTACGACAATCAAAACAGCTGATCGTTGGGTTTTCAAAATGGCCACCAACTGCTCAAAATGGCTCCCCGCTGTTTTTAGGAGGCATTTTTTGCTGCACAGGCACCTGAAAATGGCAGACCTATGGAGGATCTTCGCTGGACGAGCAGGTATTTTGCTCATTGGAACGCATTGAACAGTTTTCAGTGTGTTTCAGTGGGCTTTTTTATTTCGCTTGATGAAGATTTCACTCTACAGCGATTTTGCTGGAATGGATTATCCTCGTCAAGCAAGGCACCACTGTAGAGTATACAGAAGCCTAATGTCTTTTCCTTCTACACCATATGTGAGAAAGAATGTGCAGTCTTTATTT